TGCCCGCGTTCTACACTACCGGTACTTGAGTGTGCCCTGAGCTACTCCCCTTCGACCACAACTTTTTGTCTTCTTCTGCTCGGCCTCTGGTTCCCAACACATCTACCGCTACTTTGAGTGGTACCAGCCTACCTACTGCTCGAGTGCCCACAGCCTACACTACCAGTACTTGAGTGTGCCCTAAGCTACTCCCCTTCGGCCACTCTAGTGTTTTTCCCCGCCACAACCCCAAACTCACGGCCACAGGTAAGTACTGGCCCTGCGGGGCCTCCCAAACAAACAAGTGCCCTGGCGGGCCACACACACACACTCAAGCCGACAAGCACTCAGACAGGCAAGCAGACCAGCAAGCATGCACACACACAGGCTTAGAAAACTTGGCGAAAAGCGGGAATCTCAGCAAGGCATTCATTCCAGCGGGTCAGCTGTGTTCTCAGTCCGTGTTTTGGCAGGTCCTTACACACTGAATATATGTGTAGGGATGGAAAAAAGAGGTCACAAGAAATCTCAGCAAGGCAGATAAAGGAGAGCTGCTGGGACATCTGTTTACACAGCAGGGTATTTCTTTTAGTGAAATTGGTCCAGGGTTATATGTAAACTGATTCAGCATTTAAACCACCGGTACTTTTGACCCTTCCCTTGCTGAGCCTCACAACGCACTGCGTGCCAAGAAGAATGAACCGGTGCTGGTCTTCTTTTGGCTGGTGCAAGGAAAATGAGCGATAGCGAAATGACAGAATTCCAGAATGCAAAATCTCATTGGAAGCCAGAGAGTCGAACGCTGTCCAGAAAGCAGATATGCACTGATATTCCACCAACGGAGACCCAAAGCACCGAATCCAATTGTCAGTGAGAGCATACTCTCGCCACCACCAACGCGCTCCTACTTGGCCCTCAGCGCCCAGACTACAATCACACAGCTAGAACTCAGCCTACGAATTGACAATGCAACTTGTTGACGTCAGCAGCGAGAACGGAAGTACATGAAGCTGTCGACCCTGTAGACCATCGCCAAGACCAGGTACGTGCCCTCACATCATCATCCTCATCTCTATCTCTCTCCCTCGTCTTCTTCACCATCGCCAAGACCAGGTACGTGCCCTCACATCATCATCCTCATCTCTCTCTCTCTCTCCCTCGTCTTCCTCACCCACGTCTTCCTCCTCATACATGAAGACCACCACCACCCCGCCAGCTACGCATTCAAGCCAAGCCCAGCCTATGTAGGGCTGGATATGGCGCTGCCCTCAGCAGTGCCCTGCTTCTTGCATGACCGCACACACGGGCACACTTGCCCTTAGCGCCAAGCAGGCAGCCCACAAGCACACTCTCCAGCAGCGCTGCCGCTCGCTTACGCAAGTGCCGAGTGCCTCCGAAGGCTGGCGGGCACTTTCCTACTTGGAAAGTGTTTGCCAGCCTCTCGCGTTTGGCTGGCTGGACTGAGTTTCCAGTAGCTTCCCATCGGGCCTAAGTGTCTGCACCCAGGCCCGTTCAGACTGTGGCCTGGGATCAAATTGGTTAGGCATGCCCAACCACCCAGGTGCAAGCGTATGGCGCTCCTTGCTTCGACCACGTTGCTGCCTGGAAGGCTCATGAATATTTCTGATTCTCAAGAGCAAGGCGGATGTAACGAACCGGTGAGTGGCAACTGTCTGGTGCCCAACAATATTTACAAAACTTGACAAATTCGGGGCTCAATGAGATTCCAGGGGCCCACCTTTACTGAGGGCGGGAACACGTCCGTTGCAGGGGCCTCATGCAGGTATGCCGAGGGGGTAAATCCTTACACTGGCGCCGCCAGCCATTTTGCTCCGGTAGGCCAACCCCCGAAACTTGTGGCCTTGTGCACGCCGTGTTGGAGAAAAGAATTGAAAAGTGCTGGGGGGGTTAACCTGGGGCTGAACAGTGGGGGTCCCTGTCAACCGCTTGTGGGAGAAAAATGACTGGGAAATGTACTAGTGGTTTAAGCAAATTTGGGAGCTGTACACTGACATTTTTTGTTCTAGTTTGCAATTTTGGACTTTCAATGCGAATTTGAAATCAGTTGTCTATGAACTTGAGCTTTTTCAGCGAACTTGATAATTCATGTCCGTGAAAAAATGATTTGCCGTCCGCAAAATTGTCATTCATATTCTTGAAACATTTTTGAAGGGGCAAAGGGGTAATATGTAAACCTTTCTGGAGCTGAGGTCCTGTAGGATTTGTAATATGTTTGCTGTGATCTGTTGTTTCTGCTGTTCTTGTTGCAGTGCTGACGCGTTCCCTGCTTTCCATTGTTGCCTCTCGTCAGTGTTTTGTCCTGCATGCGGGTCATCGGGCCAGGAGCACGTATGTGCTCACGATACACACATCGTCCCACAAATGCGAGCTTTCCACCAGCAGAGAAAAGCCAACAAGATAATAAGGTTAGCTTCTCTTGCTGTGACAGCATACAAACTTCCCCACACTGCTTGATATAGTTGAGAATAAGATTGTGGTTGCCATTGTTACTACAGCGTATGGATGATGATGGTGATGATAATGTTCATCAGCAGCATAATCGTCTTCATTGTCATCACCATCATCAGCATTTTAATCATCATATTTGGCCATTGTTCCAGCTCCTCCTTTGCGTATTTGAGAACATGTGTTTTCTGGTCTTCATTGTCATCACCATCATCAGCATTTTAATCATCATATTTGGCCATTGTTCCAGCTCCTCCTTCGCGTATTTGAGAACATGTGTTTTCTGTGTGTTTCTTGCCTCCTCTTCCCCGCCCTGGCTCTCTGTGTTTACTGCTCCATCTTGGAATGGCAGATGTGTCTGCATCTTGATGTGCAGGCGTAAGGTGCATTGTTTCAACAGCAGCGGAGGAACTAAAGTCCAATCGTTGACAATCTTGCAAGTGTAGATGTGATGAGACGTGGCAAACACATTCTTCTCCTCTTCTGAATTTGTAGCTGAGAGTGGTGCTTGGAACGGAGGAGGACTTGACTCATGTCACTGAACAGGAATGATAATCCCCTGAAAACGAAGTTGAAGACCCAACAAGGTAGCTGGTCCTCTATGCCTCTCTCTGTTCATGGCCTTGTAACCTTTCGTGTAGTCAGTACTAGTCACACATTTCCTGCTGGGGAGGGCAATGCAGGATATGGAGATTTCAGAGGAGCTTCAGAACATCCAAGAATGGAATAAAGTGTGCGAGTAGCTGAATCTATGGTGTGCAGGCTTGGACTGCTCTAGTTGAGGTGATAAATAAGTGCGCCGCCTTTTCTCTATCTCTACCTTGGCACTCTGTGTGTGGTCATGTGTGTTTGTCATGTGACTCAGCGAGAGTCTATGAGAAGAATTAAAATTGCATCTCACCGATGTGATATCTTATGTGTTGCTGGCATGCCATTTCTTGTGTTGCCAGGGCACTTATGGAGGAGAGAGAAGGCAAGGAGAGGGATCTTAGAAAACTTCAAGGAAATGAATCAATGGTGTATTCAAAACCAATCCGCATACAGCCGGTCAGGACTCATGATGCCTTTTTCATCTCCCCTTTCAAAGTGCCTTCATCCAAGGGTCAGGTCTCATGGCAATTGTGGATATTGTTTGTAGGCAATGATTGTGGACAAGGTTTGGTACTACGAACAAGATGGAAGAATGGATAAACTGAAAAGGCTGAGTTGCCTGCAAGCTGGAGCTTGAACTCTGCACTGTGGATATGGTTTGTAGACAATGATTATGGACAAGGTTCGGTACTCCGAACAAGATGCAAAAATGGGTAAACTGAAAAGAGTTTCCCGCGTGATCCTGAACAGAATGGTGCTGGAGCTTGAACTCTGCACCGCTTGACTGTGGTTTCAGGCCCAGTTAATATTCGGAGGAGACCCCTGGGGGTGTGCTTGTTTGCTTTGGGACCCCACACATCCTTTGTGTTGGTTGGGCTTGTGTTGTTGGGACCACATGCATGTCTTGAGTTGGCTGTACCTTGAATGGTGACTGAATGATGCATATATGGAACTGTAGCTGCACAGAGTTGAAATCCTGTGCCATTTCCACCATGTTAGAGGGCAGCAGCCTTCCCCAAAGAACGGATGGTTCTGCGGTGTCAGGGAAGAATAGTAGAAGAAGCTGCAAACCAAATGCATATGGTTGGCCCTCCTCGCTGCTGTGGAGCAGGCCTGACCATTCAGGCTGCGAAGGCCAGGGTTGATGGAAAATCAGGTTCAACAAACACATCAGCCCACCTGGTCGTTCATCACACTACCTATCACCAACATTTTCCCTGTTTAAACCACCAGTACCCCGAGGCAGCCGTACCGGACCTTTTCTTTGGCAACCTATGGAACCTTTTTGTTCTCGGTGAGTGGAACTGGTGAGCGGTGGAGATACAGTGGGCGACTGGCCCTTCAATGTGGGGGACAGGTCCCTCTGTTCTGGCTGTTTCATTTCTTTCCACCCCCTTTCCCCCCCCCCTTCGTCTCCATATTTTTTTGCCATTCGTGTCATGCTTGCGGAGAACCATGCTAATCTTCTCTGTATGAAATCATCTTCTGGTGGAAGATTTTATTCCCACATTCTACAGTTGTGCAGCACGTATGGCCCTGCACAACTTTCTCATGAGGTACGGGTAGTGCGCCTCGTCGGAGTAAAGGTATGGCTCCCCATCTCTGACCTAACTGTGACCTAATGCACAAAAGAGAGAAATTAGGCCACTGTAGCTTGTTTTTTCTTTTTTGGACCATTCCCGATTTATGTGTGTCATCGCTGCACAAGGCCACACTGACAGGCCACTGTAGCTTGCTTTGTTGTCTTTTTGGACCATTCCTGATTTATGCGTGTCATCGCTGCACAGGGCCATGCTGATCGTCATCTATCAACGTTCTAGCTGAAAGTCATCCTCGTTTTGCACATTCGAAGGCAGTGCAGCATGTATGGCCCTTTACAACTTTTTTCACGCGGCAAGGGTAGTGCATGTGGTCAGAGTAACGGTATGGCTCTGGACTTGTCACCACAGCCACAAAGGACACAAAGTATAGCACTGTAGCTTTTTTTGTTTTGATTTTTTTGGACCATTGCTCGATTAATCCGTGTCAGTCTTGTGGAGGGCCATATGCTAATCTTCTCGGTATCAGCCAACATTCTGGCGGAAGATCCATTCTCATTTTGCTCAGTGGAAAAAGTTCTTCACGAGGTCAGCTCAGACAACACACTGCTCCACCACTTGCCCTGCACGCCGCTCCCATAAAATTTTCCCTTTCCAGAAGTATCCACTTCCTTCCCCCCNCCCCTCCCCTCCCCCCTTTCCTATGTTCTTTTTGGTTGTGAATCATGGTGCTTTTGTCTTCTCTGGTCTCTCCTCATTTTCGAAATGAGCAACCACCCGTACGTGGCTTAGGCTCTACCCAGCCTCTACGGGGCCTGCCCAAGTCTTCCTTGAATTCAGGAAGATGAAAATCTTTACCTGGGAGGGGTACTGGTGGTTGAAACTTGTCAACCTTCTCTGCAAGAACGTACAGACAAAGACAGAGGAGAACTAATGCCGTACACGGGTCATAGCTGGGTAGAGCCTATATGCGGGTCCTAGCAGGCAAAGGAAACAGGCATCCCGCAAAAAGACAATGATCACAAAGGAAACAGGCATCCCACCGGTACCCCGCCCGTATGCGGGTCCTAGCATTGAAAGGAAACAGGCATCCCGCCAGAGGCACAAACTGTACACACATAGGAGTTTGTCCTTCTGGGGTACAGCGATGGGGGAGGATACCTGATACCTGACCATTGAAAAAAGAAGGGGAACAATGTCACTAGCTGCAGGTCTTCTTCCTTTTGTGTGCGGTTCCGTTCCCAAGCAGCTGTCATGTCTGCACTAACTCGATAATAAGAAGAGTTGCTAGGGTGACTTGAGTGTTCTCTTTTGTGCAACTCCTGCTAGGGTGACTTGAGTGTTCTCTTTTGTGCAACTCCTGCTAGGGTGACTTGAGTGTTCTCTTTTGTGCAACTCCTTCAGGAGTAACGAGGGGAAAAACTAGTAGAACTGCACGCATAAAGAAGTGCAATTTCGTCAGTGTAGATCAGTGCGTAACACTGCATATCTGTCAACGTCTGCTCCTTACCTTGCCATGTACACAGGGGCTTGCTGACTATTGAAGCTCATGGAGTGCATTTTCCAATTGAACTTGGATGTTGTTCCTCTCACTTGTATGCCAGGTTTACCTCCTAGGGTCGTTAAGCGGCGACCCTGCTGACTTCCTCAAACAGTGGTTGATCCCGGAAGCAATAAGGTATATAGATATACCAAACGTAACCTTGGTAGCTCAGCAGCACCTTTTTTTTTTCTTTCTTTCTTTCGTTCTTTTTTTTTTTTTTTTTTTTTTTTTATAGAACCTCTAACTCCTTGGTCACTGCGGTGGTCAGGGTGATGGAAGCGTTCAAATCGGCCTCTGTAATGAAAATAAAGCGGAACAAAGCCGGTGGGGTGGTGGCTGTCTGAGGAGGCAACCCCGAATTACAAGGCCCTGAGAGTCAAATGATTGCAGCACCTGTTTTTTATTTTTCATTTTTGTTTTTTTTCCCGTTTTGTATTGGCGTGTATCACCTCTTGGCACATGGAACGAGAGCCCATGTTGTAAGGGCTTTGCTTTGAATTTCACTTTCTCCCCTCTGCTAAGTTTTTTGGTGTTCCTGTGTTTTCGTTTTTGTGTTTTCTCATGGTGATTGGTAGTCATGGCATGGGTGTTATTCGGTGGTAGAGTGTTTGTATGATAGTTGTCTTTTTTGGGTGCTTTCTAAAGAAACAATTTTGCTCATGTTCTACAGCTTCGTTTGTAAATTGTACTACAGGTGAGATGGCAGTTCTTGCGTTGTCTACGTCATGTTTTGTCTCTATCTCACTCACTCTGCATGTGTGTGTGTGTGTGTGTGTGTGTGTGTGTGTGTGGGTGGGTGGGTGGGTGTGGGTGTGGGTGTAAGCATGTGGTGGTTTTGTGTTCAAGGATGTCATTTCTCCTAGTGTGCAGAGCTTGGTGAATGGCACATCATGCGTTACATGATGTGTATGTAGTTGCTAGTATTATATCATAAGCAGGGTGCAGTATGTGCTATGTACGGATTAACATAATGCTACGTAGTGTATTTTTTCTTTAGATACTGTTTTTTTTCCTCCTGATGCGGAGAGTATCAAGTGCTTCGGCATAATTTCGTGCATCCTTTATGCAGAAGTCTATGGGCTATCCTCTTATCGTGGACTGTCCATCTGGAGTGTGCGGCATACCATGTATAAACCAGTGTCTGCTATAATAGCGTGGAGTGATACAACATCATGATTGCTCAGGCAGAACTATGTGCTGTGTACGTGCTTAGAGCATCATTTGTAGCAATATCTCAGGGCAATGACGAACGAATGACCACCTCTCTGGATAGATAGCAAGGAGGGGAGGCTGGTGCTGAGATTTTGTCCGAGTTCCTGATGCCCTTTCCTGATGCCCTGGACATCTGACGTTGTAGTGGAGACTGCTGCGTAAGCCGAGGAATCAGTGTGAGTAGGGTTGTGTAAGGCCACAGATGGCAGGACTGGGATACCCTGAAGCCCTCAACCACCGTGGGAAGTGCTTTTTCAAGGGGTATATGCTCACGATGAGGTGATTGCTGTTGCAGCCAAAACACTGAGAGACTCAGAAACAGAATGGAGTGACAGAGGGTCACCCTTCTATTCATGAACTGGGGAGGCCAGTCTGAATAGAATGCTGGGATTCTGTAATTATAGCAAAAATGCTGCTAGGAGCTAAGAAAGAGAAGGGCACCAATAAATGCGTGGCTCTGAGCTGTGAAGAATATTCACAGTTTTTTTTTTTGTCCTAATTATGACCGTCATGCTCTCTTTCTGTTTGGTTCTCACTTTTTTCTTGTCTTTGTGTCTGTATTTGCCTGGTTGTGTTCCTTTTCATTGCTGCGCGTTTCCTTGCAGATATCTACAAAGAGCAGTCTCTGTCAAGAGACCTGTGGATGGGAACCTCCGTTTAATGCCAGAATGCACTAGATGGCAGAAGTGGACCGATGGGCGATTCCAGTGCAACTCATGGATGTTATCCTGCTTGGTTAGGATCTCTCTCTCTCCCATAGTAACTGTAACTGCAACATTCCGTTGTTTCCTTGCTCATTTCTTTCTTTTTTTTTGTGCATGTTGGCAAATGTGTATAGTGTGTTTGTTTCCACAGCCCTGTACACTCTCTTTTTCGAAGTGTGGATTATAGTGTGTTTGTTTCCACAGCCCTGTACACTCTCTTTTTCGAAGTGTGGATTGGGTGGGCAGCATATATCTATCCAACGAAGCTACACGTACGCAATGCACTGTGTTTTTAACCAACTGTTCTTCTGAACTGTGCTGATCTGTTGGATTTCACTTCTGCTATCTAAATGGGTTTGTCTCTCTGACTCCCGTGCACCGCATATGTACTTTAGCAGAGTCATTGACCAAAAGATCAAAAAGGAGTCTTGGACTTGGCACGGAGGAAGTGGAAGTATGGCCATTAGGAAGCATATACTTCCCAGGCACCACCTTGGCCAAGCGGGTGTGGCGCGGGTGTGGCGATGGGTCCTGTTATAGAGTCTTGAGGAATCTTTGTCTCCAGATACCCTGGCACGAGAAGTGTCTGGTTTGACTTTCAGCAGAAGTGGCTGTGAAACGGGTAGGCAGGCCTGAGTTGTGTGATGTATGAATGATTTCAGCCTGCAATGTAGGTTGCAATTGTCCCTAGAAGATCGGTATGAGAACGACATGCCAATCTGTCCTCCTACCCTCACCTCCACCCTCTGCAAGAATGATTTCAAACTCACATGTAGGTGGCAAGCGTCCCTTGGAGATCAGTGACCGAATGGCATGCGAATCTCTGACTTCCCCAATCACTTCTGTCTTCCCCCCCCCCCCAAAAAAAACCCACCTTTTCCTTCTCTCTCCCTGCCCCTCCCTCGTGCTCCTTCTCCGTCCCCTTGGCCTGTCCTTCCCCATCTCTTCGTAGGCCTTTCAGGCTTGGATGAACCCAAGTTTTCAAACTCTGCTGTCTTGGTAACTGTGGTGGGTGGCCAGCTTGTATCTCACCTTGGGTCCCAGTTCTTCCAGTGTAATCTGTCGTCTTCAATTCTAGCAGTCTTCAAAGCCAGTCTCTGATGGAGATCTTTTTTCTGAAGTTTGCCTTTGCAGTCCTGGGGAGCCCTGCATTCTTGGTTTGCTGCCATAGATCACCGCCTCTACCATCTGGATGAGGGAGGTCCAGGTCTTGTCCTTGTTTGTTTCATCGCCCTTAGTTTCTGTGCGCCTTTGTTTCTCCTTGTTTGTGTCATCACCCTTAGTGTCTGTGCACCTTTGTTTCCAGATTATCCAAAGAGACATCTTCCTTAGCATTAGGTACCATGATCATGCTGGACCCTTCAGGCAGGAGGGGAGTTTAGTGAATACGACNGGGGGGGGGGGGGGGGGGGGGGGGGGGGGGGGGGGGGGGCAGGAATAGTAAAGAGGGAGAACCACAGCTTTGTTTCTTGACGACACCCAGATGGTGGCCAGGCATTTTATCAGACAGACTGAGACAGTGGATTTTATAATGTCCTCTTGAATCCTCTTCCTTTTCTATTTTTTAATGTGGCCAGACGGACCATGGATCGGATACTAAACTGTTCAGAACAGATGCTACACTTGGATCTTAGCCAAAAGGCTGAGAAAGCTATGAAGATTGTCACGCCCGGCCGGGCACCCGAGTGTTGCGCCCCGGGGGGGTCTGGGAATAAGTGGGGTCTTTTTGTTTTTTTTGTTGGCAGTGGGGCTTTCCGCGTATGCCAGAGAAGCCCAAATCCAGGCTCTGTTCTTTTTTTTGAGTGTTGGTTGTCGAGGGGCGAAAGGGGGTTATGAATTGGTTTTAGAGGGGCTAAAGGGGTTTAAAGGGGGGTGCCTTAGTCTGATTCTGTCGTTCTCTTCTTCTATCTTTGATCCCGTGAGGAATTCTGATGTGACTCTCAGCCAAATGTCGTTTTGGATTGCAATTATTGCCCCCCTCTTTCTCCTCCTTGAAGGAATCAATAGGTATCCTGCTGGATGGTTTCTTTTCTGCTCGTTTCTACGCTTCTTTTTCTTCTTTTTTTTCCCATTCGCTCGCAGCGCCTTCTATTCTGGGGGACATCAGTCTGGTTGCTTATCACTGGCAAGCAAAGTTTTTGAAACAATTTGACACAAGCGGAGGGGCAGATCACACAGAAAAGAGAAACAGCCTGCCCTTGTAGCTCGAGCCACCTGTTCAAGGGGGGGTTGCTACAGCGCCATCCACTCCCATACTTTGGCTTGTCCTTGGGGGGTATCCTGCAAGTCGGGAAGCTTGCTCGAAGCACCCAGCCGCACTGCAGGGTAAACCCAAGGAATCAAGGCACGGGGGGGAGGGATGCCCTGCCGGCCCCTCTGGCCGCATGTTACTTACTCAACTCGTTCCCACCATATCTACCTGGGCCCCACATTCCCTCTACCTCGTATCCCCACGCCATCAGCGTCCCTGAGTCGTTCTGTCTTTGCTGTCCTACTTCTCCTTCCTTCTAGTTTTCCTACCTTTACTCCGTACTCTGTACTTCCCACTCCTCATCCTTGGTCCTATTTGCCTACACTATAAGGGGTTTTAGCCTATCTATAACCACAGTGGCCCCCACCGCCTTGAATCCTTCGGTACACGTGTCTACCTAATTACCATGTTCTGTCCCCAGCATTTTCTTGGCCCAGTTTTTCCATGAACCCATTTAATCCTCTTACCCCTGTCTATCAGTAGCCACTCCCCTTCTTATCCCCTACTATAATACACCTATAGTACACCTACCCCCCTCTTACATACTATAGTACACCTACCCCCCACCTATCAATGAAAGCCTGCCCATCACTCCTAACTATAGTACACATCGGTTGAGATCAGTCTTCGTCGTCCTGGGGTCTTGGCACTTGGCGCATTAGAATCGGGCCAAACTGCATTCGGCCCGTCTGGGGGTCTCGGTTAAGCAGCTGCTGGTACGCGGTCCATCTTTCCCAGAAAGCACATTTCCCTTGTCCCTCCGTGCAGCTGCTCCTCTCGAGGTTGGCCATTAGGGCGAGCCTGGTGTTTTCCAGCACCCTCTCTTGATAGACATGGAGCGGTGGGGCTGTTTCCTGTCTGCATCGTTCGTTCCGCAGGGTTCACAGGGCCCATAGGCGGCTGCCTGTATTGTTTCAGCAGCCAGCATATCTTCCTTTCTGGATCTATCCACCATCCACCTTCGTCAGGGCCCCCAGGAGAATAACAGTGTCGTCTGTCTCTGTGAGATTCAGCGGTGAGCCATCTGCCACGTCATGTGCCCACCATTCCCAGAACGCTCTGACAATCACGCACTGCACAAACAGATGGGGGACCGTCTCCACTTGCCGGCACCCCGCAGCGCATTCCTGATCCTTGTGTCGGCTCCTGAGTGCCAACCATTGTGCTGTCGGGATTGCCAGGCGGTAGATTTGCCATAGCAGCCTGGCCTGTTTCTGATCCAGCAGGGCTGCCAAGATGGCACATTGCTCATTCCACCTCTTCCTCGTCCATCTGTTGAAGTATTCATACGGGAGCCATCTCTCTTAGGCCAGCGGTCCCTGAGTTCTCCACAAATGTCCACCTGCTCCAGCAGATAATTGTAAATGTTTTTGTGAATAAGTTCTGGCGTGGGGCCGCTCTCGTCTGCAGCCTTTGAGCCGGCCATTCCCCCTCCTTTGGGTCCCATGTGAGGTCCCGTTGTCAGCAAGCTCACTGCTCGGCTCAACCCCTGTGAACTATCCCCACTCTGGCTCCTCCGTTGTCATATTCTGTCTCTGGTGTCTTACCGCAGGCGCAGGATACTTCAAAGTAAGAAAAGAAAATAAAAGAAAAGGAAAAGAAACATTGCTCAGAATTGGTCCTTTTAGCACAAGTACAGTGTTTCACAAATCTCGAGCCAACTGCAGACCATATCCCTCCTTACCCCCTTCAGCCTTGCTTCAGTTTTCGCTCTAGACAGAGTCCACAGTCAATTAAAGCTGGGAAGCACAAAGAACCCACGGCCCCCAAGCGGAAACACACCCCTCAACAAAGGATTTGACCAGCGTTCACAGTGGTTGGTTTTCGACTGGGAAGGACATTCACGGTTTCTCAGCGAGATATGGAGCCGACGGTGTCGTCAGTGGACGCTCCGACTGGGAAGGACATTCACGGTCTCTCAGCGCTCAATCCCACTTTCGGAAATGCGCCTTATGCGCGAACCAGACTATATGCTTTACTCACACATTCGAGCGAAGGCAGATCGAGATTCCAGCTAGTCTATTTCGCTGCGCCCGTACCAAGGCCCGACCAGGTACACCAAACACAAAGGAGCTCAAAGTTGCGGATAGCCGATCCTCGCAAAGCGCCAAGAAAAGGTCGTCGCAAGTCTGGATTTTCTTTCTTTTCGTACGTATGCACCCGCGCGTGTGACCTCAAACGAACTGCACCCTCGGTTTAGCTCGGCCCTCCAACCTTATTGGAAGCCTGCTGCCCGCTCCGATGCTTTCTTCCCCCTTCTCCATCTCATTTTGCTATAGTCCGCTTGCGCCTAGCTGCTCACTTTCTAAGAGCCGTGGACTTACGCACACAGCCCGCTCGGGGGCAGGGACGCGGGGGAAGGGAAAATAGGCGAACCCCGGGTGGTGCATACATCTGGCCGCGATGGCGTTCGGACGAGTTTTGGGGGAAAGGCGCCAGCGCGAGCACCGCCTCTATCCTTTTTTTCCCTCTCTCTTTCTGCTCTCTCTCTCTCTCTCTCTCTTATACCCCTCCTTTCATTCGTCCTCGTGCGTTCCTCCCGTACGGAGGCTCCACGTCCCGCTGCGAGTTGCTGGCTGGCGCTATATACCGGCGGACCCCCTCTTCAATCGATACTACCTCGCACTTGAGCGTCCGTCCGCCTCTGCCCCCTTGCGCCCCCTGAAGATTGGTTGCCTGCCAGGATACGGGGGAATACCCGTCCGAAGCCGCTCCTCTATTCTCTTCCTTTGGTATGGTCACTTTCTCTCTCTTTCTCTCTCTCTTTCTCTCTCTCTTTC